ACCTGTCCACTTGTCCCCCGTCCCCCTGAGCACCTGTCCACTTGTCCTCCCGTCCCCCTGAGCACCTGTCCACTTGTCCCCCGTCCCCCTGAGCACCTGTCCACTTGCCCCCCCGTCCGCGAGCAGTCAGCGACTGGGCTCCTTGCTCCTGAGTCCTTTCCATTCTCCGGTCCTGTCCGCGGGGAGCCCAGAGTAGCTCCGTCCGCACCCCAGCACATGAGGAGGCCTGGGGGAAGCAGACGGCTCCCAGCGCATGGGCGCTGGGTGCAAGGAGCCAAGCGTCGGCCTGGGTGCCCAGGGCCAGCCTGTGGGCCCCCCTTCTCCCAGACAGAGCAGGTGGGGCCCACAATCACTGTTATTGAAGACATATGTGGCCGCCGCCTCTTTGCAGGGTTTATTTTTGCAGCTGTGGGGGGGGGTCAAGGCTCCCAGGGGTCCTCCTTGGGGTGGTAGATGTGGTCTCGGTCCTCCTCTGGCCCTTGAAGCACCTGCTGAGGTGGCAGCACCCGAGCCCAGGGCCTTGCCTCCCCCTGGGCCTCCTCGGGCCAGTTGTGGTGCAGGCTGTCATGGTCAGGCTCAGGGCCCCACCTGGGGCTTGGGACACGGCCCAGGGTGTCCTCGGTCTCTGCCAGGGCCTCGGCACCTAGGGACAGACAGAGGGAAGTGTGGCCTCAGTTTCCCTCCCGAGGCTTCACTCATCCAAGTCGGCCCCTTGCGAGCCCCCTGTCATGAACTTGCGCCCCCCTCCCCAGGGGACAGCGCCTGCCCTGACCTTGCCGCTTCTCCCCGGTGGTGGCCAAGAGCTTTGGTGCCATGAAGAGCCACATGAGCTGGCTGTCCTTCTCCGGGGGCTCCACCGCTCGGGCGCCCCAGGCCCTGTAGCAAGAGCGTCTGGGTCAGGTCACCGTGTGCAGCGGGAGACCCCAGGACAGCACCCCTGCCCCACCCCCAACCCAGACCCTCGAGCCAGGCGTGCCCACGACGTCGGGCCCGGGAAGGTCCCCAAAGGGGAGGCCTTGAGAAGGCTCCATGGGCTTGGCCGGGGCTCCCTCCTGTGCAGAGGTCAGCGGAGCCCAGTCTACAGGTGGTGCTGCATCCTCCTGCCTGGCCGGCCGTCTCACGTGGGTAGGGGAAGGGGGCACGGCTGGCTCAGTCTGCTGCCTTGGCCACCCCGGGCGGGAGCCACCCTGGAGGCTACGGGGGAGCAGGGGAGCTGGGCAGGGCAGGAGGGGGGACTGGATCCTCCAGGCCCCGCGCTCTGCTCGGTTGCTCACGGATCTCAGGGGCTCCCGTGCCCCCCCTCCCCAAAGCTGCTGGACAGGATCCCCCCTCCATGCATGAAGGCTCCCAGCTCAAGGCAGGCCCGAAGGGGGCACAGCAGGGGAAGGCGCAAGAGGCTGCTGGGGGCACTCACTCCTCTGTGCCCTGCTCAGCCCCGGCTTTGCCTTTGGTCTGGACGAGGACCTGGGAGAGAGAGGTCGCAAGTGAGGCTCAGTGTGGTCCTCCAAGGGTCCTCCTCTGGGGACTGGCTGGAGGCCATGTGGCTTTGGGGGAGACTTGGGGACAGCATGGGGTCTATACTTGCACCACCTGTCCCCTGGTGGCCTGAGGAAGGGGGGCCGGTTCCTCTGCCCATACTTCCTTGCAGGGCCAGTGGGGCAGGGGAGCAAATGAAACGGGTGACGCAGCCCAGTGACCGGTGCCCGGCAGCTGTGGGACAGCTGTGCTGGTCCTCCTGTGTCTCCCTCTTCGCCTGGCACTCTCAGGGTGTAGGGCTGGTGACGGCCCCAGCACAGTCCTGGCCCCTGGGCAGCCCTGCATGTGGAGGTGCCCTGGGCTTCACAGCACAGGTGAGCGTCATCAGGCCCCCTCCTCCACCTGGCTCACCTGGGGTGGTTGTGGCTTGTCCATCAGACCCCGCAGAGGGGCCGCTCCCCTCATCCTGAGGGTCCCCCCAGTGCCCACGGGCCCACCCGGTGCACAGGACCTGCAGTCCCATGGGTGCCACGCCTCCCCTGCCCTAGGCCGGCTGGTGCCTTTCTCCACCCCCTGCTGGTGGGGCTGAGGGCGGAAGCCACGGGGCGGCTGGGTGAGGACCCCGCACGTACCTGGGGGGTCCATGCTGAGCTCCCCTGTAGCAGAAACACAGCCCCCAGGCTGGTGATCAGGAGAAGCCTGGGGGACCAGGGAGGAGAGTGATAGACAGGCAAGGCTCTGCCTCTGCCCCGCGACCTCCAGACATGACACCTGGCAGGGCCGGCGATGGTCCAGCCAGGGGGGCCAAGGGCCGGGTCCTGATCAGGTCCACAGGTGGTTTACTGTCCCCCACGTCACAGAGCAGGCCACGCAGGCACAGAGATGGGGCCTCCACAGGCCCACACCTGCTCCCGGGCCCTCGGACCCCACCCTGCAGGCCCGGGTTACCGCGTGGATCTGGTGGTCCCAGCGTTGCCTCTGGCTCCGCGGCCTGTGCCGGCCACACCATCGGGGCCTGGCGCAGTGGGGCTGTAGCACTGATGGGGCACGGGCTTGGGGCTCAGCTGGCAGGCGCTCAAGCCCGCAGCACCCCTGAGGCTGTGCCCGTGGCTCCTCAGAGGCAGGTGGCACTTTGCTCTATCCCAGAGCCGTGGGTGGACGCCGGGGCCGTTACCTGGGCAGGAAGCCCAGGAGGGGCGGGGAAGATGGGGTGCTCCGCCGGCACACGTCTAGCCTGACCTCAAGGAGCTCGAGGACCCAGCCCAAGCAGGGGCTCTGAGGAGCAATGGCCGAAGGCAGGAAGTGTGGAGGGACGCACAGGACAGAAGGCGACTAAGGGACTCAGCAGCGAGGAGGCCTCACCCAAGACAGGCCGGGTCGGGAGAGCAGAGGACGGCTGGGGCTGACTGCGGCGGGGATGCGTGGCGTGGGGTTAGGGTACCCGCGCGTGCCTGTGCGTGTGCATTGCCGCGTGCGTGGTGTGGGTGTGCGTAGCGTGCGCGTGTGTGGTGTGCATGTGCCCCGTGTCTTTTGCATTATTAAAATGCAAGACAACAGGCCCCCAGTGGAGTTGCTGGGCTGAGAGCCTTCATCACCAAACTGAGGCCTCAGTACAGGGTGGGCGCTGCCCTGCCCTCCCCTCCCCTCCCCTCCCCTCCCCTCCCTCTCCTCCCTCCCCGGGATGGAATATCCTGAGCCAGACAATCCGGAACCGCCAGGCGGCACTCGCGGCCCTGCCTTCCCCTGAAGGAAGGTGACCCGACCACAACCAGCGCCCTTCGCTTACAGGAACTTCCTTGTTCACCCCACCTCCCCACCTCCGGCCTGTAGAAGTCTTTCACTCTGTACAGCTCCTTGGAGCTCCTTTCTATCTGCTAGATTGGATGCCGCCCTGATTTGAATCGAGTTTTGCTTAAATAAACTCAGAATGTTTGACACGCCTCAGTGCATCTATCTCTCGGCAGTGTCAGTCCGTGGTCAGGAAGGTTTCTGCTCCGCAGCTGGGCCGGGCTGGGAGCACGTGGCTGGGGGGAGGGGCCAGGGGCGGCCCATCAAGGCTTCCTGCCTGATGCCCCGATTCCAGCCCCACAAAGACCTTCGCTCCTCCGGGTGACTCAGCACTTTGGGGTGGAGGTTCCCTTGCACTCCCAGGGGGCAAAGGGCAGGGGCCTGCCCTGGCCTGCAGGGCACTGGCCCAGTCTGGTCAGCTACCCTGCCTCTCCCTAGACAGAGGCTCCGGACACCAAGAGGTCCCCATGTCACTGATCAGCCCGCCCCTGGCCCACGCTGGGGTCCCTAGGAGAAACCCCCAGGACAGGAGGGCCGGGGAGAGCTCTGGCTTAGACGGGGAGGGGCCCCCCCACCCCTGCCACAGGTGGAGGGGGCGGAGGGAGACCCCCTCAGGAGAAATGGCCTCTGACCTCAGGGTCCTGGAGGAGCCCCAGTGCTTCCCCGGGCCTCACACCCCAGCTCCCGGGGTGATGACCCCTTGGGCTCCAGCTGCCCTGCCCGCATCGCCCCCCAGCCTCCAGCCCCGGCTCAGCGTCTTGACCCCCACTTTCATTTCGTCAGTCACAGACCTGCCTTCTTTGGCCCTGGTGCCTCCCACCTGCTTCCAGGGGCTCCCGGGTGACTCTCCACAGGTCAAGGGACCCCAAGGGACAGTGGTCTCTCTCAGGAGCCACAGGGGTGGCCTTTGGAGCTGGAGCCCAGGGGCTACAATCATTCTGGAGGACTCAGGAGGAAGAGTTCTGTCCCCAAGCCCTTAACACCCGGGAGGAGCCGGCGCTCCTGGGAACTAGCCAGACACTGGTTTGCAGACAGAGCCCCGACCCCCTTCTGAAACCGGCCTGCGCTGGGGACCCAGGTGCCCCAGGGGCTGCTCCCTGAGTCCAGGGCTCCTGGACCCAAGTGACCACACAGCAAAGCTGTGGGTGGGGTGTTTGGGTGGGGACCCGGGTTTGCAGGCGCTGGGCATTACCTCCTCATGCTGGGGTCCCCTCCTCAGTGTAGACAGTGCTCTGGGGGACCTGCAGCTGCAGACCCAGCTAGCCAGCGGCCCAGGGATCCAGACGTCCGGTCCTCGTTCTCCCTGCCCTCTCTCCTCTCTCTCGAGCCTTTATGGCCCCTGCGTGGGCGTGTCTGGACAGAGGTCGGGGCTGGGATCCTGACTGGGCTGACGAGGTGACTGAGTCCACCTGTATGTCACACGCATGACCCTCCCCAGCACCCGACTTCTGCCCGCTCCAGCCGCCTGACGCAGCCCTACCTCCCCCCACCTCT